TCCAGTAGTTTTGCTGAGGATTCAAAACGCAAGTGCACAGGAAAAATACCATCACCCAACATATAGCTGCTTAAGCATTCTTTCTGATACTGTACATATTTCAACTCCCACCCACCTTTCAGCCTTAGACTATTTCTTAACTGTCTTTGCTATGTAAATTATAATCATTTCTAACATGTTAGTAAAGATTTCTTCTATTACTTTTGCTCTTAAAAATTATACACGTCATCCGTGAAAGGGCAAATGTGTATTTTGTTTCTTTGTTGAAACAACCTAGGTAAGGTCTGGAATATGATTCATAATGGCGAGTTTGGGAGGAAACTATATTTTGTATATTTTGCATGCCAGTTGTACGTTATATACTGTAAATGTTATTAATTGCCATCTTGTACAATTTAAAAACCAAACATTATTTATTAGAACCCGCTTAATCCATCCCTAAGGTAAATATCATAATTTCAATAAATTTAAATTTACTATATTTTTAGGTGGATTTAAATGAATCAGTTTTCATATTTTAAGGAATGGCACTTAGCCAAATGACCAATAGTACACATGGTGTCAATTAGAGTGAAAATGTTAATATTATATTTTCACTGTAATTAATTACATTTTAACTGTAAATAATTACATTTTCACTGTAATTCTTTTAACTGTAATCACATTTTCTTTTTAATATTACATTTTCACTGCAATTGATTACATTTTCACTTTAATTGATTATAATTTCACTGTAGTGTAATTGATTACATTTTCACTGTAATTGATTACATTTTCACTGTAATTGACCGCAGGCCTGATACATATTCCCAGGTATAACCTTAACCATTAAATGTTACCTCTACAGTGTTTATAGTATACAGTTGTTCTTGGTATAAGTCATTTAAAATCTGACTGTAGTACTGTGGTCCAACATATCATCGATCTCATCACGAACTAACACAATCAAAGTAGATTGTGTTAGTTCGTGAAATCACAGTAGCGCGTCAAAACGAGCACGTATTGGTTGTCAGGCACTTTCGTATTCTTTATCACTCAAAAAGTCTGTAACAACAACAGCGCATATTTTGACGCGCTTTTGTGATTTCACGAACTAACACAATCTAATTTTATTGTGTTAGTTCGTGATGTGAGCGACGATATGGGGCTTGGCAAGCCAAGACCAGCATCAGTGTCGAAAACAAGGAAATTGACTTTTTAAAATATTCTCTAAATTATAATAAGTTTCAAAGTGATAGGCCATCTGGAATCGACTTTCTATTGCCAAAGGATGAGTAAAAGTATTACAGTTTCTCTGTACTAAAGTATAGAATACTGCTACATTCTTATGTTAATTACTCAGTTTAACATTTAGCAACAATAAGATGGCAAACCTTATATATTTACGATTGAAAACTTTGCCTATTTTGAATCAACTAAATCTGTCTATCTTAAGACTATCTTGTTTTGTTTTTTTTAGTCTTATTATTACACCATGGTCATTTGTGTATAATTTCGCATGAATTATGCACAAAACAAATTTGTTGATTGCTTTTAGAGGTCATTAAAACTTGGGCGTAGCAGGATATAATTTTTCTGCTAGGAAGTTTCAACTTTAGCAACATTAACTTAAAAACTCTTCACAAAACAAAACGTGCTCGCATTCTCATTACTTTCACTTTTGACTTCCCTCATCAACCCCCCACCAAATTCGACGTAAACAATTTCATATAAAAAACATCCATCCATTTTATAATGAAGTAATTTATAATGTAGAAAAATAATGCTTTCACCTTCACAAGGTAAAGGGGTGAGAGGGAGAAAAAACTATCCCCAACTGGTCTTTCCACTCTCCAAGAAAAGAAACTCCCTTCTTCGGTAATATTAAACCTAATGTATAGAGAAAATTTATGCGAACTAAAAAACAACAATGCTTTCTGTGAAGTGTATTAGAGAATAAGGAAAAGGCTTCCTGCCCTTTAACAATGGATGCTACGATATAGATAAGAAAGAGGAAATTCCTTCTTCTTCCTACAGATTATAGAAACAATGATTACACAACCGGGTAAATGATGAACAGAAAAAAATAATAAAATTATTCAAATCATATTATTGAAAATGATATAAAATCAAAATGATAACAAGGGAGGGGATGAGATGATTATGTGGGTTATGACAAGTTTCGACGTAGCCATTAAAACATGTCCCACTGAGCACGCCCAGAACTATTTCCTCATCAATTTATTTCAAGGATATTAATCGTGTAGCGTGTCTGGCTGGCGTAGCGGCAGGATTACTAAAGAGAAAAATATATAAACAACACGTGTAGCGAGCCTTAAGGCAGACCTGGATATCGTGACCCAATTTCACGAGAATAAATCAGTACGCTCATTCAACATCTTCATATATTACAGATATATGTTTGTGTGAATTCTATGTGTAATTTAACCATAATTAGAACGAGAAATAATATTTACTCTGTCACCAAATTCTATTTCTGAATAACAAAATTGTTTCCATTTCTTTCTCACTGTAGAGGTGAGAGATTCAATGATGTTCTGCATTATACAGTAGTTTCATTTGAATCATGAATATTAGTGTATATCTATAGTATTCTTGGTGTTATAATTGCCAGCATTAAATATTTGAATACATGATATTTTTAGAGGTAAAGAGGAAAAAAATATAATAAAAAAGATATATTATTCATACACTTGAATACTACTACAATACTACTACAATAATACAGAATACTAAACACTAACAAAATACAGCAGAAAACAAGGTAAACATCACACATGCCCACTCCACCCCACACCCTCCCCTCCCCATGTGTATGCAAATATCTCCTTACATACATCTCATGTTTATAGAATACAGTATATTATTATATAGGCAGATATTACATAGAAAATAGTGACAATAATATTTTACCAACTAAAACCAACAAATCAATGTTTCATTCTGCTCTATAGACTTGGTTTGTTAATTAATTAAAAGCATTTTAAATGGTAATTGGGTAAACATTTTATTCTTCAATTTTGTTTCCATTAATTTGTATGTATGACTAGAATGACCCCCTTCGAAGGATCCCCAAGGAGAAAAAAGGAATCTTTTAATTAAAATACAATTTCTTTCACATGCAATAAGTGCATGTGCCAATTACAAGATAGATGAAAACAAATTTTGTTCCAAGGTTGAGGGAGTGAAGTACATTTAGCCAGAGAAAAAAAAATCCAGGGCTAAAATTAGCAAAAAAAAAAATTATTTTAAATCTGCCTTATATATCTTGGAATAATCATTAATTAATCATTCATACCTTGAAATGGGGCTTGCCATGCCAAAAACAGAATCAGTAATCAAAAATAAGAAAATTTAATTTTAATATTTTCTTCATTAGGCGAGACGTTTTTTTATTGTTTTGCAAACTTTTTTTTTTAAAGATCATCAGAGAGCTGAAAAAAAAAATGTTTGTTTTCTTATAGAAAATGGTTTACCAAAAACATCCTGAAGGAGGAGAAAAAGAAAATAAAATGTTATCGTTGAATGTAAACAGTGTAGTAATGAAATGATGGTTAAATGCTTTAAATTCATAGAAATATCTTATTTTTGGTGATTGCAGGACAGCGGCTGGAGTGATAAAAATAAAGAAATACTTTCATTTTTTTCTGAAATTTCCATTTTTTCGTGGCAGAGGGTGCGCTGATTAGCCAAAAATAAAATTATATTTTTATTTGAAATCATCATTATTGGCGGGCGGCAGGATCACTAAACAAGGTATAAAAAAAGTAAGGCTTCTCTGTTCTAGAAGTATACAATATTGCCACATTCTTATGCTAATTACTCAGCACACTAGTTTTGGGATGTCAAGACTCATTAATACATTACAAAATCTCTCTTTAATTTTAAGATGAGAAAATAAATTTAAGATAGATATTTTTGTCTTATACTGAAACAAACAAAACAGTAAGGCCTACCAAATTAGAATCAGAAGTGTAATCAGGCCCACAACACAGGTTAATGGTTCACCTAAAAAGGCCTGGATTTTACCTGGCAACAAGCCAACAGAAAAATTAGGCCTAAAATTGTGACATAACGTAATTGAGACGAGTTTTGGATAATGTTCAATAAAATACCTTACTCTTGAATATTATAAAAAGTCTGAGTTCTTCTTTGTAGACCTTTGTTTTGTTGTTTTTAATGTTTATAGCATAAACATTAAAAATCACTAAATACTTTTCTCGCTGACGAGAAATTATGAATCTGAAAGCCATGATGGCATACTCTTACGTTTGTACTCACTTTTACAATTAGAAAAATTGAATTGATATACTAATTGTTAGTAGCTATAACACATACATTTTTTTTTTCTAAAGTTCATACTTGCTGGATGCATTTTTTTTTTTTTTTTTTTTTTGTAATGCAATGTAGTTTTTGTAGAATTAGCACTTTATACCGAAGCCTCAAAGCATTTTAAGTGTGGACTAGCTTGTACAACAACTTCCTTCTTCCTACCTCCTAAGGGTCACTTCTAGTAATTCTTCTTCTGGTAATCAAAGTAGTTTGATTATGTCCACCTTATCATTTTTGTTTTTGGACCTATTTCTACAAATGAGAACGAACCGTTCTTACTGAAAGAACCGTTCTTTTTTAAAAACGGTTCTTTGTGGCAGTAAAAACACAGCCAACAAAAAAGAACCGTTCATTTTGGCGTCCCAAATAATGGTTCTTGGAATGTCAAAGAACCGTTTAACCACCAGAAACTCTTCCATTTTGAATCGAAATGCAGTTGCAACACGGTACTTATCTTGGTATTCAAATTATTAACCAATGAAAAGAAAAACTGTTTCTATCTCAGTTTTCAGTAGAAACACAACAAAGCAATTTTCTGGCTGAGATTAATGTAGGCTTTAGCCGAGATTGATAAAGGTCATCCCAGGTATTTTATAGGATTTTAACCGAGCACCCAATGTTAGAAAGGCATCTTCACCACCAACATGCTCCTTTTGTTCAGCACTTACCTTAGTACTCATTGGCTTGGCGTGATATGTCACCATCGTCGTCTGTTCACAATCTAATGTGATGCTTGTGTTGTGGAAAGATTCCTTTGAGTGTTTTAAAACATAGTACGCATCGGTCACGCCACCCTCAAAGATGCTGCGAAAATAACGAGGGATCAGGGTCCTACCGATAGCTGAAAATGAGGAAATAGAGAAAAAGGAAGCAGAATTGTTAAAAATTAGTTTTAAAATAAATATATATGAAACATTTAGTAAAATATTAAATAACTGAAAAACTGTCGCTAATTAATAGTGAATGTTATGGTATAATAATGGTAAAAATGACAGAAAATATGATATTAAATTTTCATTCACATTTATGTTCATAGTTGCGCCTTTCTTTGCAGATACAAAGGAAGCGCTTCTGTCTCTGGTCACTGGATTCACATGCAAAAGTGTTGCTGCTGTAGTCAGCGCACGAGCAAGCAACCCCACCAGGAACCAATTTATACTCCTAGGTTTACTGACGATGAAAATGATGTCAATGATCATGATAACCATGATAATAGTGTTGGTTATGACAATGATGATGTAAATTATGTTGATAATATAATATACATCAATATATGCAGATGAGGATGGTGATGATAATTCGTAGACGACAAACGATGGTGCAGATGTTGATGTTGATAATGGTGATTTTAAATGTGGTTATAGTATTAACTGTGGTAAAAATGAAATGATGATGATTATGATGAAGAATTGATAATGATGATGATATTGGTTATGATGATGATGATGATGATAATAGTGACAACGATGAGGATGATGGTGATGATGACGATGATAATGATGATATCCCTTCTTACTGTATCTTTTTGGTCCATCTTCAAGACAGAAGGATAAGGTCAATGTGGCATCATCCTCAAAGAATTCTGTTGCAAAAGCATCCCACCATAAGTTATCACTGTCCTGCAGAGAAACATATAATTCCAAAAATGTAAACAGTAGTTGACTACATTTTAACATTGTCTCTAAAACTTGCAGCACAGTGAAAGATCCAGGAAAAGAGGCGCTCGCATCGTACCACAGACAGCAGCCAAAACAATTACTAACCAGGTTTGAAATCATATAGATAAAGTTGATTAAAATGGCTAAAACTCCACAATGGTTTCAGGTGGCATAGACCCTAGACTCCCACAATGAAAAGAAAACACCTAAATTAAAAACCATCCTCTTGATCACGTTCTGCACCCTTTCGGACATTGGATGACACCTGTGACACCCCAGCAAAAGAATTCCGGAACTACAGTAGTCTACAGTAATATTCATTTTTTGCACATAAAATTAGCAACCTTTGGATTGGATTTCTTCAGTGTGTAATAAACCCATAAAAGGCAGAAGAGTATTTCCAGTGGGGTCCAACAATTTGTCAGGGGAGAAAAAAAAATTATGTATTTTCTACATATTAGTAGACTCTAAAACTGATTAAATAAGCCTTTGAAAAATTTTGAGCGATGCCCGACCACATCCCTGTCAGGCAAATCCTGGCACCATACTTGGGTCCATCTGGAGGTGAATTTTCATTAGGGTTTTCTGATAAACTATACAATTTATCAATAAAAGATCAATAAAACTGGTAATTTATAAGTTATATTTGTTTTCATCTAAATTTGAGTAAGTACTGTACCAATTAAATTTTATTAATCATTGTATACAATATGTAAACAAGGAATGTGTTTATATTGAATAATAGCAAACTTTTTTTCAATAAATATATGATGGTACTTTATATTCAATGGTTCATTTTTTTAAATAATTATTAGGAAGTTGATAGAATATTAAATTTTGAAATCTTTTATCACTATATTCAAATGAAACTATTATAAACGTATTATTTATAAATCCATTACAATAATTTATTAATTTACATTAAATAGTGTAATAAAATATTAAATAAACCTGATTAATAATAATTAGCATTTAAGATAGTAATATTAATATTAAAGTGATTTAAACTATTATGATATAAGATAGTAGTTGGTAAAACTTGATTATTATTGAATTTAAAGATAAAAACAACAGGAAAACCTCAAGGTGTTTTAGAAGAAGCGCTACTGTAGTACGCAGCTCAATTGTGGGTTGCAAATTAAAAGACACATTAAGCCAGAACCACAGAAGGGGAAGTGTTTGAATATTAGCGGACTATCGGATGACCTTGCTAACTACCAATTCTAGAAAAAGGGATATGTGTTTGGTAGAGATAGCCAGGGAAGATGGGCATCTCCCGATTAACACTTCCTATCATTGGTATTAAGTAATAGCATGCCACCTATTATAAACATTAACATCCACACCATACAGAACACACAAAAAAAATAGTTTAAAAGACTTTTTTTTTTTTTAAATCAACTTCTGTTAAATGTACTGATCTAGAATTTAAAAAAAAACATATTTTAGCAATGTTTAAGGAGAAAATGCGAGTACACATTCATTCCCCACCCCTCCATGTAGCACCCTTCCCTCCACCCTCCAAATCCAATTGTTTTAATTATTATAGACAAGGTTTATTAAAAGTTGACCATTCTAGGAGAATACTGGACTTATAATTACCTTAAATGTTAATATTTGTGTGGGAAATTTAATATAGTTTTAATAATTTGATTTTTTTATATAGAATTATACATATTTTAAAATAGTTTTTGAAAAACGGTTGATATCACTGGAGAATATGTTGCTTTAATGAAACAATTAAGGTAAAATTAGGTGGTCGTATTCAATGTCTTGTACTCGGATTATTTGACACCCTAGGGGAAACTTATTTTCTGTTCAATCCTTTGTTATGTATTGTGTTAGTATCTAAGTAATGGTTTCTTATAACCTTTACCTTTATATAAAATTTCATATCTAAATTATCTTTACTGAGAGATACATTGATTAAGTTTAAATAGGACATTTTTTTTTACTCAATTTGAGCATGTTGAAGACTTAGAGATCATATTAATGTTGAAATATGGAATTTTAGCTAATTTCATGCTTTACACATATTATTTTCTAATCACAAAAAAAAAAGGTTTTTCAATGTTAAACACAACATTAAGAAAGAAGTACAGGGATGAAATGTTTAGGAGATTTGTTTGTTAGAAATTTAAGTACAAAATGCTCAACATTATACGTAAAGTATAGCAATGCACAGTACAGCACTTGTTTTTGCAATTTTAAATCTTTTGCAATTTCTTAAATGCAATAATAAATCTAATAAGATTAACTATATTATTATTTATGCATCTATAACTTATAAAAATGATACTACAGTATTAATAATATTTAGTCTTCGAAATCCAACAGTAAGTTACAGTAGCTCTAAGATTTAAAGAAGGTGGAGCAATCATCACTATTTTGCAATCTATTCAATTTTAGTAATGACATTGATATTAATATGGGAATCCCTGCCCCTTTCAAACCACTAAACAATACACAAAATGGCAGTAGCATCAACAAAAATATTCAAATCAACCCAACTCCAAGTCACAATTATGTAGAATTCTATATCAACTTTCTATTAATTCAATATTGAATAAAATCTAGTATATCTGAGCATCTTATTGTACATTCCAATTTGAAAAATAGGGCCAATGGAGAGTGCCCTCATCAGTCTGAACTTGGAAATTTGCATGAAATATTATTAGATAAAATATTCCTTTCTTACTTTGAGTATAACTGTTATATAGAATTAATATTTACAAATGTTCTTATTGACATTTTCATTTTTTTTTTTGTTAGTTATTCTGTTAGAATACAAACACCTTTCATACCATATAAAGTTCATGATTTTTTATTACAACAATACACATATTTTTCATTCATTATTGGTAGGTAATGAGAATGCAAAATCGAACTGTTAAAATGATCAGAATTTAAGAACAATATTGAATAATTATCTATAAAAAAACATCTCTCCACATGTCTATTGTTGAAATGATCAGAATTTAAGAACAATATAGAATCATTATCCATACAAAAAACATCTCTCCACATGTCTATACATTAACCACTAAATATCTGTAAAAAATGCAATTTTTTTACATTTACTGTTCCAAGTATACTGAAAAAAAAAACTATTATTGCAATTTACACATACTGTAATATATGAAATCTACTATAGTAGTAGTAGCCATACTACATAAAAAGCGGTAAAAAGAAAAAAAAAATTACTGGTACACATGACATAAGAATTATGCGAAAGATTAATGCTACATGGTAATTTGGATCATGTTACCGATAATCATCAGGAAGATGTATCAAGTTCTAACAAGAATTGTATCACTACAGATACTCCAAATTTGTTTACAGGTATTGGCATACAGAACATCAAAACAACTGTAGGATAAATAATACATTTGATAATAATAAAAAAATACTTATTTAATTACATTATATAATTATGCATACTTTCCACATTCAAAAAACCTTGTTTTACATCTTTACAAATACAAAAAAACAAAAAAAACACAAGAAAACGAAAATAATTAAGCGTAAAAATGTTAAATATCAAGATAAAAAATGTTAACAAACCTCATTTCGGTGCTGCAACCTCTTATTCAGTTCAAAAATTCTAAAGTCTGGTTGGCTCATGAACGGCATGTGTCGTCTGAAAAGATGAGGCGGGCATTGCTGGTTAGTAAACATTTCAGGGACAGCCATGTTGCTATATTATTCAGTGTTTTCTTTTAGTTTGCTTTATTTACTACACACACTGTTTCTGCTCTCTGTCAATGACCACGCATGTGAGTGTAATACAGTATAAGCAATCAATCACAGCTAATAAAGCATAATTTATGTAGCTTGTCAGCCATCAGAGTGAAGTAAACTGATCTCTGATTGGCTGGCTGCTGAAGCTAGCCGGTTATTGATTGGCTGATGCTCGCAAGGCAAGAAAATGGCCAATACTACAATGACCCAGGGAAAGCTCCATATTTGAGGGTCAAAAAAACTAACCTGGGACATACCATAACTAAAATAAGGGAGAAAATATATTAACTTTTTATTATTTATGTTACAAAATTATACATACAAGATTTTTTATTGTAAAAAATTATATAGAGTACAGATAACACAACACGACTAGAACTATATTATGAAAATGCAGTATACAGTATCGTGTGGCGAACAACATCATTTATTCACAATTTATGATAATTACTGTAAAACCCCAATATAAGAGTCATTTTTAAATATATTTTAAATCTATCTAGTGGTATTTTAATTTTCTCAACCTGCCAAAGCTATAAAAAAAATTGGAAGTGGTAGAGAATAAAAAATATTGGCAATATTTAGTGCAATTTTTACTGTTCCACTATGACTAGCTATAAGTATTTTCATTAAAAATCACTAATACTGTAAATTGAAGTAAAAAAAATCAAAGAAAAATATAGCATTCTTTATTTATATTATTATATATTCTTTTTATTCAAATTTCTGCCAAGCACAAAACAACAAACAAATTTACAAAAACATGGCAAGGAAAGACCAAACAGGTGCTAAACACCTATGCAGGTTGTTCAACCCAAAACAGTACAGAAACAACAACTACTCTCTACAAAAGGAACATCTACACGAAAGTGACCAACTACAAACATTTTCAACATCAAAATTTTTAAAGAAATAGTTATTAAAATAGTTTAAAAGCTTAGTCCAGCACTTAGTAGACCAACTGGGTAACAGTAATAAAAATGGTGACAATAATTGTGATTATTGTGGTGACAATGATGTTAAAGATGGGATAATAATTAATAATACAATAATTTTAATGATGGTGATATTGATAATGGGGCAAGGGACAAAACAATTAAAAAATAAAAAGGTGACAACCCCCCCCCCATTCTTGGGACCATGGGCAGCTTCATTGCCGGTAACGATGACAATATGAATAAAACTGATGATATCTATCTTACTTATTAGTCAGCCATTATGCATTTTAAGCATTTTTTATTTTATGAGCTGTCAATTAGAGAAAAAATATTGATTATAAAATCCCTACTCAATTACATAAATTTCTGAGGTAGAAATCATATTTATTAGGGGGAAATATGAGAGAAAGGGAAGTAAGATATATCATCACTGAACGATCTAGGGGCCTGTTTCTGCTGAGAACAGAATTCCGGTTTCAAGACCAGTATTCTCAAAGATCCGTATTTTCTTGTCAGTGGAAATGGGTCCCATAAAATAAAACCCGAATTCAAATACCGGTTTTGAAAACCCCAATTGAATCTGGTCTCGATCACCGAATACCATACTCAAACCCGTATTCACCGAGCAATTTTTAGCTGCAACGCAATAGCGGTCTGTTTGACCACAAGTTGACCTGACCTAGCAAGCTGTCAAATGGTACTCGGAACATAAACAACTCTCATCTTGGCGCGAAGTGTGTATTTTAATTTTTTGATTTAGCAAACGTACCAGTAATGTTGGGCGTAATTTGGACCAACGCCATCAAAAGACTAGTGATTAATCTGTGGGGGGAGGAAAAGATGAGGGGGAGGCTAGCCGGCTAGCTAGTTCGCCTAACGAACTCGCTGTGGGTAAAAATGACGCATTGCACAACGACCTCCTTAGGAGAAACCAGTTTCTGTTCGTGTTAAAATTAAACTGCAATGCGGTCTTTGTTTATAAACAATTATGAAAACCGGTTTCACTGAATACTCTACTTTTGTATTTTGTCAGTAGAAACAGGCCCTAAATTGCTAAAAGTGTGAATTATTTATAAACAAATTCTTATCTTCAGATGTAATACAACAACAATGCTTGTACTATGATTAAAGTTTACTGAGAGGACCTGCCAACAGTAAAAATAGAAAACACAGTCATATATGTACCATATTAGTCATGTACTCAATGAATAACAGGCTATCCACAAAACATAGCATTTATAAGCCATAGTATAACTACAAAATGATTCACCCACAGCGAATGCAGTTGTTGACACAAAAATGGCACACAGAAAAAAAAAATTCTAAAAAAAATGGAACAGTCCAGCTAATGTCCTCACAGCAATAGGCAAGCCAATGCTAATGGATAACATATAGGAAAATTCTGAAGAAAACAAATTAAGAGGAAAGCGCCACCGAGTAGTTAACCTAGTCAGTAGGAGAAATCTGTAGGGCCACACTTCCTGCGCCTCATCAAATTGGCCAAAATTTCATTGGTTGAACGTCACAGTCTATCCGTGTTCCTTCCTACTGGCTCGACTTGGAAGTAAAACATGCTAATTTCAATTCAATACGAGCATGTCATGTAATGCTGCTGCGGTTATTACTCGAAAAAGGTGACAAACATTGATAAGTTACTATCATTGAGCTCCACTCTGCATTGGGTGTATGCCCGAAGTTTCATCTGAGACCTGCCATAAATTTAGAACTGGCTAATTAGACGTTAAGTGGCTACAGGAATATCAGCGAGATTATATTAATTAATAGGAAGTCCTTAAAGCTCTAATCAGTTGAAACCACAACGACATAACAGCATCGGTATTTCTTATACGACATAATAATGTATGTAAATGGGATTTTATGAATGAAATATTTGGAATTACGAGCTCTTGATTTTCGGGGTATGAATGATGTGATACTGTTAGCATGATAATTCTCAAGTGATATTTGTCATGACTTGAATTGATCAAGACCACTTGAACATACATAAATAATTTAATAGATAAATATATATTTAATAAAATTAATTGTGATGGACACAAATAAGAGCAGTAATAGAAAAAATTGAATATTAAAATAAATTAAAAAGTTTTATTAATTAGGATTTACAAAATAGTGATTTTATAATTAGTAAATAGTATTTAATTATTAAAGAAAAAAAATAACTTATAAATAAGAATTTTCCCAAATATATTTTAAAATTGGTAAAAATTAAATGGTAGGCCTAATTTTATGGCAAACATTTAATTAAAGAAAATTAACAATAACAGTTTTTAAAATGATGCATTATTAATATTGCTAGTTAAGCAACAATGCAATTGCAATGAGCAATATAATTAACACAACACACAACTAAAATGATTAACTAATTTTCTACAGTATTATTCAGCAGGTACACATGTCTTTAGAATAGTTTGTTATAATAATTTAATTAGATTTGTCAAAATAGTTTAATAACAATCTTATCCATTTGGATTCAATTTGTATTGTGCTGTAATAGCATGTACCATAGTAAAATTTATTGCACTTTGTTCTACTTTTTGGATAAGGAACACAAAAAATAAAATTTAATTATTTAAATGACTTTATAATTAATTAAAATTCAAATTGAAGAAAACACTTTCCTCATTGCTTAAACATTAAAAAAAACAAAATTCCTTTGCACACAGCAGACCCAAAAAATAAAATTTAATTATTTAAATGACTTTGTAATTAATTAAAATTCAAATTGAAGAAAACACTTCCCTCATTGCTTAAACATAAAAAAAAAAATCCACACAGTAGACCCTTAAATTGGCTAGTGCTAATCAATTACTGATCGTGAAAGATTTTCATAGTAAAATGTCTGTGTTATTATTATTGATTATGTTTGTGTCTCTCATAAGTTTATAATTTTATTTGATTATTTTTAATGAGAAATTCATTAATAAAATTTTTCTCACAGATTTTAGTACCTACAGTAAGCTACATGTCTTTAATTAATTATTTAACTTCCTACCTTTATTTATTCACAAATTCTTATCTTCAAGACCAAAAATGGAAACAGGTCAGCAATTCTCACATGGGTTAATGTAGGAAACCAGCTTTTAAAATTAATAAGACAATAGGAATTTGCATACCATTAACATTTTAACCCCAAGGTAGTATTGTAATTAAATGTTTTACTTTTAGGATGTTTGCTTGTCAAGGTTGCTTATAGGATAATACAAAGTAACATAGCATATTTATTCAAATAAATGCCCCAACTTCATTAAACGACCCCCGCGAATAAAACAGCCCCTCTCTAGAGCCGCATTTGAAATAAACCCCTCCCTTGAATAAATGTTTGTGATTGTTATAATAAGTTTTGCATGTCTAATTAATATTTTTTTGAGTTTAAATGTTTTTAAATCAAAAGACTTTGTTAGTACTTTTTAATGTATTTTTATATTCAGTTACATAAATATTTTATATATATTTTAACCTGTTAGTGGCGGTTATTGCTGTTGTTATTCTAGTACGAATAAATAACATTTTTTTTTTAAATAAAATAAACGCCCAGAGGCATATATTTTTCTTTGAATAAACACCCCCTAAATGACTGTAAAAAATCTAATGGAAGCAACTTCATTCTCAACAAATTGTGTTAATGTTCTACTCAAGTAGAATTACATTTTTAAACCTAGTTAACACATTTTGGTGGCAATTATGTGTTGTACTGTATGTACAGTAGTTCACATTTACAGTGAAATTAAGTACCCATGTCCATTTTACACCAAAAAAAAAAACAAAAAAAGAAAAAAACGCCTCCCTCAAATAAACGCCGTCTAAAAAACATTTCTCAACAAAAAAAGCCCTGGGGTATTTGTTTATTCAAGAAGACTAAAAAGAATGCTAGATTTGTTTGGTGTACTTTATACTACAATAGATGATAGGGACCTGAACTAGGCCCACAGTAGCTGGGCTGTACCGCTGAAGTCGAGCGCAGCCGTTTAGGACTAAGGCTATTTTTGAGCTGGAAAATTCTCCTCACTATTTATTAACTACTACTAGTTGCCTTAGATATGATCCCACAAAGAAATTCCGAAGGGTACAAAAAGAATTTTTTGCATGTACTGTACTGTGATTTGACCTCGGTCAAAGTTATTTTTTTTTTGCATTCTGAGCTGTTGATAATATATCAGAAACATTGGGCTCTGTTTCCGCAGCGAAAAAAATTATGAAATTGGGTAAAGTGCTGTGGAAACAGCCATATTTGCATATTAATTACTACCTTTACTAATAAATACTGTACAATTCTGAATATAATTATCACTGCTAGATTAAATTATACTAATACTCTTTAAAGAAATACTGTCAGCCAAAAAAAAAAAAATCAGAAAAAATTTAATCAACAAAATTTAATGCAAATGCATTGGTAGACAAGACACTAATTTCAGATTAAATATCAATCTGTCATTAATGTGGTTCTTATGAATTATATTATTATTATTATTATTATTATTATTATTATTATTATTATTATTATTAGTAAAGTACTGTAAATAGAATAGGATTATATGTTTTGTGTATTGTATCCTGGGCACATAAAGGATAACAGTTGGTTTTCAACTAAGTTGTTAACCCAGGTTAAACAAAAAATAAATAAATTACATAAATTAAATCTTCTAGCACCTTATCAATTTTTTCCTTTTTATCATTGGACCTACACTGTTATTCCTTTGTCTCTGTCTCTTTATACATTCCTTTCACTATTCTTCTTATTCACTTTACATCTCTTTCTCACTCATATTTATCTTTCTCCTTATCCTAGTCTCTCTTTTAAACACTAATTTTAGTTTTATTCTCAATTCCCCTTTTTCTCTACTTTCTCTTTTTTCCTTCCAATAATAGGCCCTATTCTCCTTGCTTTGTCTGTATGCTCTTTGTTTCATCTTCCTTCCCTTTTCTACACTCGCATTAGCATCAAAAACAATAATTAATTGAATGCTTTTTTTTTAACTATTCATTAAAACCTAGTGAGAATAACTGGGTGATTCCATTTATGAGTAGGGTGTGTTATTGATATTATACCCACTAGAGTTCTGTACAATTATATTGCACATAGTTCTTTTTTTCGTAATGTTTTAATACCACAAAGCAACTAGGCACATCCTTACTGATAACTCCAAGCCTAATTAACAATTAATCCCAGGCCTAATTAACAATTAAAAATTAACTTTTGATTTCTCTTTTAATACACAATGCCATTTTCCTTTGTCAATTTAAAATATTTCTTTTTTAAATTCAACAACTTACAGAATAAGGTCACACTAATAAATTAATTGTTAGTATCATATCCAGGATATGAAATTATTTTTTGGTGAGGTTTGCTATCTACTATGATATGTTCTGTTTCTGATACGTAACTGCATTAAACTCCTCAGCAGGGATCTATTAATAAGTGTTGTGACTGAGCTTTTACGTGTGAAGTGGGTGCCTCTAATGATGTTTCCCATGTCTTTTAGTTTTAACATTACTAGTGATGGTGCTTGGCAGACATCTGGTGGTAGTTTATTCTATCCAGCAAATGTTCTTGGGAACAGAGAAGCCTGGTTCACGTCAAACTTTTATCTAGATATACATCCACTTAACTAGTTAAAAGTTCGACGTGAACCACTCAATTATAGCTAGATAAAGGAATTAAGTCACTTAAGTGACTTAACTTTACTAGAATAACGGTAAATTTACTTGCTTAATGGTAAAGTCGGCTCGGATTACAAGGACACGATTACGTAACGTAGGCATCTAAAAAGCCAGCGTTGTTGTATTGTACCACCATTATCATCTTCTGGCTGGCAACAACGTACTTCAACAATGCTAACAACAGCATCGAAGTAGTCTCATTAGTCTGGTTTTCAGAAATTAA